TTTGAGGGTCCCTGGTCTAGGCAACACTTGCAAGGATCTACCAATGGGAAGGATGGCCTTACCCAATTTTAGGTCCTAATATTGAGCCTTTTACATCAAAGATTTTAAAACTTGGCTTAAATATGGAATTTCCCCTCCCCCCAACKGGCTAGTTATGGAGATAAACACTGTAAAACCTGTGTCTCCCATGGCCTTGTATCAATTCAGTCTTCCACTGTTGAATATAAAAAGAGTTAGAATTTTGATTAAGATTTGGAACCAATTCCGACATTTTTTGGACTGCAGTTCTTGTTTGCTCACACACCTATTGTTGCAAATCCTCTTTCCTCCCTCTCTTGTAGATAAAACCTTCACAATATTGTCTGATCTTGGTATACAGACCTTTAAGGACCTTTTTAATTATATATTTTCCGCCTTTAAACAACTATCTGATAGATTAGCTCTTCCAACGCATCATTTCTTCAGATACTTGCAAACTCAAAGCTTCGCTCGTAGTATTTTCCCACCTTTCCTCTCCTGCCTGAAGACTCTGACATGGACTCCTTGTTTTTGCCCACTTCAAAGCTAAAAAGGTTTTATTTTGACYCTTTACAATTTAATCACTTTGATCTGCCTAAAACCTATAAAATTTGATTAGGAGCCTCTGGGAACAGGATATTGGGGAGAATATCTCTGATCAGATCTGGTCATGTATCTTGACATGGGTACATAAATCCTCTACGCCTATGATGATATAAATGTGTGGAGGGAAAACTCCTTAAATCAGAAGTGAAGAAAAACTATTATTATGGGGTCTGAAATAATGYCACTCAAACTTTTAAATCAATTTTCTCAACTTATTTATTTTGTCAGATAAAGATGTTTCACTGTAGAATCCACATTTCCGATAAAAGCTTGTGCGATACCTGCATTCATTTAATACATTCTCATATTGCATCTCTGTATGTCTGACTTTATAAGGAGAAAACAACYTACCTGCTGATGATTAAATATCAAAGAGAAGCCTTGAACATCAACCCTATAAAGAAACAGAAAAGTTACTGAAGTTGTTTTTGGACTTGACTTGTCATAAATACAAAAGATAACTACTCACTAGTGGACAAAAAAGTAACTGATTATTATTGCTTACAACARAAAAGCAAAGGTGGAAAATAGCATTTTGCCCGTTTTGGTATCTGTCAGTGAGCAAAATAGCCCTGAACAATTTTTAAGGAACTTTTTATTAATAGTTTTAATGAAACTTACTCTAAAATTTAACTAGTTGACTGTAAAAGTCTCACCTGCAACTTTTACAGTCAACAAAATTCAAGATGGCTTCCACACAGTTTTGCTAACACATTTGTGGCTGCCCAATCTGACCCAGAAGCACGATCCAGACCGTTTTAGCATGTGGCATTTCGCTAGACTTATGGCAGATTTCATTTGTTTTCAGTATTTCATCACCTGCAATGTTTCATAAAAAAGGGTAGCTTTAGCAACAGATGTGGATTTTTATTCCAGGAAAAAAAAAATTAAACGAAGATAAGATGAAAGTACATAACATGATTGTCTAGAAAATAGTCCAGAAGTTATTATAAATATGTACACATTTTAAATCCATATTATATTAATC